TTTTTCTTTCGATCCCATTGGAAATTTGAGATTTCATTTTGATCCTTGGACTTCCTGATGTTTTGTTGGTTTTCTCCCTTTTTCCTCCTTTCTGGCCTTAAGCTGTGCATCATCTGTTCCCTCCTCTCTAGTCAATCTTGTCATTCCTGCTGTGGTAATAAATCCATCAGATGTGTCAATGCCTGAAAATTAAATTAGCCAGATGGGAGTTAAAAAACAGGAAAAGTAAAGCAGAACTGGTAGATTTCAAAATAAGAGCTGATACATAGACGGGTCCTATCATCACATGGGGATTGCTGCGTGGCATATTTTGCAACAGATGACAGAGCAAGAGAGAACATGGTAAGTATGAAGCTGGCCTCAGCCAGTGCCACCAAGCAGTCAGTGAATCCAATTTGCCTTTATCTCCTTGTTCACTCCACAGTCTGTACTAGTCTCTGTTCAGCTTGCTTTCGTCACTGGGTCTCCTGTTTGCATGCCGGTTAGCAATCCTTATCATTTCAGTCTGGTATTTTCCTTATCAAAGCCATTTAATTTGTGTTCCAGGTGTCTGCTGCATTTCAGTGCATAACATCATTATCTGACAGGTTTGTTGTTAGCAAATGAAAAAAATCTAATCTAAAAATGTGAATTTTGCATATATGAGTGGAGCTTTAATAGGTTGTCTGACCAATTCCCATGTGCTGAAGAGACTACATAGCAACATAAGCATGTACATTGAAGTAATCAAATTGAATTGAATAATGGCAACTGATTCACCAGGTTTGGAAAATAAGCACATTGCAACAATTAAAGCTGGGCTTCTTTAAACATGGTCATATGGTTACATGACTTGCTCCCAACAGGATTTGGTTTGTTAATAGAAGCTGTAAACAGGTTTAATCAGCTAGAGAGGATGGTCTGTTGATGTGGAGTTAAGAGCTGTAGCTTTTGGTGAGAATGACTAAAACTCAGGCTGCTGGGCTGTTTATGGCTGAGGTAATGTGTATTTGTAAAAAGTTTAGGAGCGTCTTCAGCATACTAATTCGTTAATGCTTGGTGAGTGTGCATGTGTGAGTGGGTGTAGGCAGTCAGAGAAAAGGAATGCTTGATTTTTTTTACTCTGTAGAGTCTGGAGAAAACAGAAGATGGTTGTGGAAATATGTCTGAACTATCAGTGGCCAAGTCTTTAATGTCCATCCAAACCATTCTCAGGCAACAATGACTCTGTCGTTCAAGTGTCAGTAGTGCTCATCACCAGGACTGGTGAATAATAAACACCAGAGTCTTTGATGACTAGAGAACTAAACTGTTATGTGTAATGTCAGTGGTGGTTCAGTATTTACTAACAGACTGTGTGTGGCAGTTTTTGATACGGACCATAGGGGTAGTTGCCTTGGATGGGATCAGAAAATGATAGGGCACCACAATCCGTCAGTTGTTTGGTTCTTGAGGAATCCATTAATGCCAAAAAATATTTTCCCAGTAATAACTGAGAGGGAGAAATGTTTTTTAAATTCCATAATATACTAAGATTTAAGTCAAATCTTTTAATTTTTATTTTTTAGATTAGTTCTCTATTAGGAAAAAGTTATATGTTGAATATATGATTTAAATCCTATACTAATTGGGTATGAATATTTCAGATGTGACCAAAAGGTTTTTTTCAGATCATTGGCTGGCCTTAATAGATCAGATTTAGCAGTAGATGATGGAGCTGAATGAGTTTTATAAATTTAATGAGAAGTAATGGTGTCTTTTCAGGGAAAAACATTGCCATGTTTTTAACTTGGCCTGTTCATACTTACATAAGTACGATTGTAAGCATAGAAAGATTGAATGCTATTCAGCAGATATTTTTTGTCATCAAGAATGAGCACTATATGGTATACTTCATTTCAAGGTCTGTTTAATACAGCTACAGTAAATGTTAAGTTTGTTTTTGCCATTGTTCTTAAGTTTTGGCAGTAACCTAATCAGAGTTGAATTCCTAATTTTACTGAAGCTAAAGACTAAATAAAAATGGTAACTGAAAAAAAAACAACACAAAAACAATCTGATATTTGTAACTTGGGTTACAAGTCAAATCCCTTAGAGGGTAGCAACACCATTTCACCTTGTTGAATTAGGTTGACCCAACATGAATAGCCAGCTATCATCTCGCTAACTACATCTAACTGCAGGATTAGCTGCTTGGAACCACTGATCTTTATTTATTCACTGGATTGCTGATTGCCTGAAAAAAGTGAAGCCACCGTCCACCGTCCTGGTTATCCCCACTCCCACGAAGGTGCGCAGTCAAAATGACTTTGTGTTTAGCATTTGGCTGCAAAAGCAAGTAATAAATGTGCTAACCAAGAAAATCCATATGTATGCCGATGTATCCTATAGTGCAGTATGTAGCGTAACATTAGTCGCCATTAGTCTGGGTATCTCAGTTTGACTTAGTTAGCCGTTGTAATTATATCTAAAGTTAGAAACTAGAGTAAACAGAAAGTAATTTACTGTGAAATGTCAATGTAGTAATTCTTTATTATATTAAGTGGATTATATATATATATATATATATATATATATATATATATAT